AGTGGCTTCAGAATTTTACTGTCAATTTCAACATCCCACAAGAGAAAGTCAAAGATGTTGTCCACAACAATGGTGCTAATGTTGTTGCAGCAGTGAAGATCTTGACAGACAAGCATGGATGAGCATCAGTGCGATGTGCAGGTCACACTCTGAACTTGGTTGTGCAAAGTGCCCTGAAGAACCAGCAAGCTATCTCCAGGTGTGTGGCTGCTGCAAGATGCCTTGTCGAACATTTTAAAAAGAATGAACTGGCATGCACCAAGTTAAAAGATAAACAGCAGCAAATGGGCACACCACAGCACATGCTGGTGCAAGATGTAAGTACACACTGGAACATTACTTATCACATGTTGTCCAGGCTGCTGGAACAAAGATGGCCGGTGACTGCTGCTCCATTAGTGACTCAGAGAGGAAAACACCACCTTGATCTCAAGCCTGAACAGTGGAACTTGATTGAGGAACTGAGCCAGGCCCTTGAGCCATTTGAAGGAGCTACTTTGTTTCTGAGTGGGCAACAGTATGCTACCCTCTCTGCTAGGGCTGGACGATTAATCGAGTTTTTATCATAATTCCGATTTTGGCTTCTCACTATCATAAAAACATTATAAATCGAAGAAAAATTATTAATGCGCCGCACGGCGTGGCGTGTATGTAAGTTCCTGTGCTGAAAAAGCACTGTGAATGCACCTGTGTTACATGCAGCAGCAGCAAGCATGTGACGTGTGTGGATCAATAATATGTGGAGCGAGCGATTGAGAACATGGCAGAAAGGCAGCTTTTGGTTGAGAAGAAAGGTAGAACAACTTCAGTCATCTTGAAACCTTTTGGATTCAAGTTGACAGACGTCGAGCAAAAGGAAATTGTTTGCAAAGTTTGTCATGCTGTCGTGTCTGCCCCCCAAGGCAACACTACCAACTTATAATCGTGTTTATTAATCGTGATTTCAGTATCAATCAAAATAATCGTGATTATTATTTTTGCCATAATCATCCAGCCCTACTCTCTGCACTTCCACAACTTGTGCAAAGCCTCAAGAAGTCCATACAGTTTTTCTTTTGAGACTGCACCAGTCAAGTCACTCCAGGCTAATGTGACAGAACAGATCACAGCAAGATGGCAGGGAATATCTGTATTTCAACCTGAATGTCCAAGTGTAGTCCTACTTGCTGCTGCTCTGGATCCCAGGTTTCGAAAACTCAAGTTCCTGCCTGCTGATGAAGTATTCAAGGTCCAAAGCACAGTACAAACCATGGCACTTGCTGTCAAAAAGAAAGAGAGGCAGTCCAAGGCAAGTGAAATTGGAGCCTCTAACACAGCCCAAGAAAGCCCAGTAACACATTCCAGTGGTGCTACATCGTTCCTCAGCAACATACTGGGATCATCAGACTCCAGCACCAGTGATGAAGAGGACAAGGAGCAGCAGTTAAACCAAACTGTGCAGAAGGAGGTCTTGATGTATTTTGGAGAACATCCTCTGTCCAAGAAGGAGAATCCACTCTCATGGTGGAAAACAAATGCAGCGCACTATCCAACTCTAGCAAAGCTGGCAAAGTCTTTGCTGTGTATTCTGGCAACCTCCACACCATCAGAGCGGCTGTTTTCTGCAGCAGGAAACATTGCTTCGAAGTGCAGGGCAAGCCTCAGTTCTGAGCATGTTGATATGCTTACTTTTCTTCATTGCAACCACATACTCATTTAAATACTTNAAAAACTCAAGTTCCTGCCTGCTGATGAAGTATTCAAGGTCCAAAGCACAGTACAAACCATGGCACTTGCTGTCAAAAAGAAAGAGAGGCAGTCCAAGGCAAGTGAAAATGGAGCCTCCAACACAGCCCAAGACAGCCCAGTAACACATTCCATAGGTGCAACATCGTTCCTCAGCAACATACTGGGATCATCAGACTCCAACACCAGTGATGAAGAGGACGAGGAGCAGCAGTTAAATCAAACTGTGCAGTAGGAGGTCGTGATGTATTTTGGAGAACATCCTCTGTCAAAGAAGGAGAATCCACTGTCATGGTGGAAAACAAATGCAGCTCCAACTCTAGCAAAGCTGGCGAAGTCTTTTGTGTGTCATCAGAGCGGCTGTTTTCTGCAGCAGGAAACATTGCTTCGAAGTGCAGGGCAAGCCTCAGTTTGAGCATGCTGATATGCTTACTTTTCTTCATTGCAACCACATGCTCATTTAAATACTTACCCTCTCTCTCACTCGCTCGCTCGCGTGCAAACGCGCACACACACACACACACACACACACACACACACACACACACTCCTGAGTACCAGTACCAGAACTGATGAACTGTGAGATTTATTTTTGTGTGTGTTAATCTAATTCTGTGACATTTCTCAAGTGTATTACAATGCACATCTGAAGTTCTATTTGTTGAAAACTGAAGTATGTTAAAATATGTAGAGCAAGACAATTAAGGAGGTGTATTCATGAATACTAACCTTCATAGCATGTTAGCTTTGTAAAAGTGTGAACTCTTGTTCCAAGTTCAAACCTTATTGTCCACTTGTTTTGCATCTTCAGATGCCACAAAGCCTTTCAAGAGGACAGGCTTATGTTATGCCGGAGTAGTTCTAAAAGTTAAGTTGCACAACCTAAAGGCAATGTTTATGTATTATTTATTATTAATAGGTTATGTCTTATTACCTGCTTTAGTCAGTGTTTAAAATTTTATTTAAAATTAATTTATATTTTATTTTATTTTGCATTGCCAAAATGTTTTCTTTAAAGCCCAGAATGTGCAATCCCATTAAAAATGTTTTTTAAAAAAGGAAACCAGTTACTTGTTCATTTTAAGAGACCCGTGTTATTTTCTCTTTCGTGAATGGTATTGTACTTTAATAAACAAAAAGTATTTCTTATCCGATTACTCGATGGAATAATCGACAGAATACTCGATTACTAAAATAATCGATAGCTGCAGCCCTAGTGATGTGGCACTTCACAACACTATCCTATTCCCAGCCTTGCCACCCCTTCTCTGCTTGTACATACCAGCTCTTGTAGCAGCTCTTTTTCTCTGCACATATGGCAGCTCAACTCCTGTCCTTACCACTGATGTATAAAGAGAACTCTGTATCTGTTGCTGCCTCAAGTGAGACCAAGAATGGATGAGGAGAGACTCATTGTTAAGATCGAGAAATATCTCCAAAAAGATCTGGCCAAAAAGATTTTTCCTGGCAAGTCATACCTCTGGAAATCGGCTCTTCAGGTGAGAAATAAAGTTTAAATAAAGGGCTCTCCACACATAATTTTAAGCTAATGCAGAGGTAGAGGAAGTACAGATCTTTCAGTAGAAGTAGTAATAACTTTGCACCGCACTTGACGTGGGTCACATGAAGCACGGCGCCACATGCCAGTGTGTTTTCAGCTTAACACAAAAGTATGATGTGGTCAAGTCAGTGGAAAACTGCTTGGGAGTTGCTGTAAAGCAATTACGCCAGCAGTATATCGATTTTTTACAATATATCGAAATGTTTTCAAACATACTGTTTTTATTGGTATAGGGTCAAGTTGCGCCATATAGCGCATACCAGTGTGAATCTCTCCTCTCTGACACTCTCCGCACGGCTCTGCCCCACTAAAGCATTTACAGTTTCTCCATCAACAGTCAGAGAGACACAGAGCTGCTCCTCTGTTTAATCTGTCTGTTGATTTGTCTACAGTGCGACATTGGTCTGTATGTTGCACAAGCTACGCTAAATCAGTCTGTGAGATGAATGACGTTACAGCAGTAGCACACACACAACACTGTAGGCCTTTTCCTCTGTAACTTTTAGCCGTGTCCATTCAAGCCATGCTGCACAGATTTATCTCTCTGTTATCAGTTTAGACACGCGGTGCCACGCCGAGCTGCGCACCTACTTCTCCAGAGTAGGTCAAAAACCAGACCACCCACACTCAAGCGGGTAGCGGTGGCGTCTCACTGATTGCAGCCAACACCCGACCACCGTGTATTGTGAGACTCTGCTCCCCTCTGTCTGCAGGAGACCAGAGAGAACGGTGTTTTTTAAAGTCTCTGTGTGTTCAGCTCTCAGTACTTTTGTAGATATCTGCTTTATTACACTGTTTCATGTTTGCTATCAGCATAACTTTTACATAACAAAATAATGGGGAACTTTTATTTTAAATACTCTATAGGAATTAAAATATGTTTATTACCGAATTAGCTTAACTTTATTTGTAGCTTTTCTTCAATTAAGACAAGTGTAATATAAGGCAGGGAGGAAGTGTGACAGCAGAAACAGCCACAGTGAGATGTTGATGAAGAGCGACAGGCAACAGGCCCTTACTGCACCTCTGCAAACAGCTCACCTCCAACAGGTGAACTTGTTTTACCTGCCCTGCTGTGTGATGGAAAAACACATGAAGCAACAGCTTACAGCTGAACATGTAGCCCACTTAGTAGAAAATACCGGGAGATATATATATATATCATATATCGCCATTCAGCCTGAAAATATCAGAATATGTATTCATCATCTTGGGACATACAGTGAGCAGCAGCAGCAGCAGCCCACCATCTGATGTCACACTGTGGGGACAGAAAACAGAGGGCTCTGCGGGGACAGAGCGCCTGCTACAGCAAGCAAAAACACCATCTGCAGTCATTTTGACTTGACCAGCAGACTTCACTACAAGCCAAATGGCTGTTAAAACAGGTGACGTGCTTTACGTTCTAAAACCAGCCGCTGGCGATTTGATCAGCTGAGTTGCAGGTGACACCATCAGTCAGCTCGAGTCAAGCTCAGGCCAGCCAATTCACACCAACGCGACTTTTCTCAGGAACATTCTAAAACACTTCTTCGTCATCTTTGGTCTAAACTGGGCTTTACGCTAACAGAAAAAAGCCCTTAGGGATTCAGTGTTTCCCCTACCATTATATTAGGGGGATGCCCTACACACACGTGTGTGTGTTTGGGTCAGTGTCCGTTTTCCCCCCCAGCACTTTTAAACAAAAAACTCTTGGCCGGTCTGACTGTCTCACCTGGACAAAAGCTCTGTCATGTTTTCTTCACTCATCCCACCAAACACTTTAAACTTCTTCAGGTTGCAGACGTGAGTCTTCTCATACTTCCCAAAGGTGATGCTCTGAACAATGGCCGGCCTTTCCAATTTTAAGATTAAAAACTGTAGAAAAAGAGACAGACAAAGAGAGAGAAGACATGAGATGGAGCAAAGGTAAAGAGCAGAGTTATGATGCTGTTAACGTATGGAGGATAGCAGGAAGTTGTCTGCGCTTATGGCAGGCCAGCCACTGTCAAAAGAGCTGCTCATTATCGCAATGACTGCAGCAGGGTCAATCTGTTGCGTCAGGTAAGTGGCATTCCATACAATCCAAGAGCTGCATCCACATGTCACTGGTGCTCTAACAAGCCCCGACATCTAATGACAAATTACCAGTGGCCATTAGGCTGGAATAGTGACTCAATGTGCCACTGGAAAGCAGGCAATGTTTTCACATGCACTTATTAAAGACACAGATATTCTATCTGTCTATGCCTTGAGCCTTTATAATGATGTCACTCATGAGTTTGCTCACATGAATTTCACTGTCAAACTTTACAATCAATAGAAAGTGAAAGCCATTCTCCTGCGTTCCAGCTCTCCTGTCAGACATTGATCTGGGCCTTTCACCCTAGTTTGTCATGAGTCAACATGTGACAGTACACCCCGATCCTCCCGTCAAGCTCCTGTTCTGGCTCACATGTTCAACACATCATTTACAGATTACTTGTCTGTAATTTGGCACACACTTTGGTTTAATTAATTGACGGATGGATGGATGAGGAACAAACTATTCTTGCCATTTGATTTTTGTGTTGCATTGTTTTGATTTGAAAAACATGAATCAACACTGGGTGTTTCCCTATGAACAGTGAGCTAAGAGGCGTGTTCACAGGCTATGACTGTATTTACTTTGTGCAAACATGTTTTTCTGTAGAGATCAATTACAACTAGTTCCTTCCTCCATGTCCCGCCTCAGCGTTTTTCCACTGTGGACAATGATGTAGTAGTCCTCTCTCTGAGTAAACTTTATAGTGTCAGGGCTCCAGACTAACTTTTTTTAGTACAAGCACTGTAGCCCCTAACTGTAAATTTTAGGAGCACAAACACAAAATTTAGGGGGAACACCTTAAGTCGTCCTGCAACGCAATTATTCACATTTTTGGCCATTTTAACTGTATCATAAAACTATATGTAGTCTACTGTATATTAACATTGGACTTTTATTGTTAGATTATTGAAGAATTTGGCATCACAGAGACTTGTGGTCAGTGGAATATGAGGATTCTTCAGATAACATCTGTACAGATGTGAGGCCCTGCCTACATCTGACTGATCTTTAATGAAAGCTGTTGTCTTGTATTTTTTCTAATGAAAATATAGTCAGACACATTTTTTTAGCCTATGTGGTTAAGAGGACAGGTCTGCTCTGCAGCAGCAAACTGATATGGTGCTGATTTACATGAGAATTCATGTAAAATGGAGTTTGAGCCATGAACAGAAATTACAGATCACCTGTAAAGCACTTCAATAAATATCTGGACTTCACCTCACTTGCAGACTTTGCAGGCGCGTTCCCGGGAAGTCTGGGAGTACTTAGGGCTGTCCAAAGCTACAATTCATCCAGTCCACAACGGGCGTCAAGCAGAGAGTCCGCTTGGGGTGCAGACTTCAGCAAACATCCCTAATTTAATAACCTATATTTCATTGCAATATGGACATGACGTTGTGGGTTTTTACTGCCAAAACAAACCCCAAAAAACTTATGAATGTGTATAAAAAATAGGGCAGTAGTCTCCTGGTCGACTAATCGATTATTTGGTCGCTATGCTCTTGTCTGACCAAATTGTCATTGGTCGAATAATCGCTGTGTTACTTTCATAAGGAGAAAAGTGCTACATCAACAGCTTTCCGGGATTAATCCATTATTTCCTGCGGCGGGAGGACAGGCTAAGTTACCTGTGAAAATGGGGGTGTTTTCAAAACACCCCCGTTGTTGACAGAAAGTTGAACTCGCCCATCCTGACGCTCAGCGTTGCAGTGACTAAGCTGAAACCATTTCCCTCAGTGGGAACGAAGCTTGTATTTACTTGTATTTCACAGATGAGAAACAATAAATTGTGAAGACAGTAAAGCCTCCACTAAAATAGCATTTTAAATTGTGTGTGATTCATCCTTCAGGGATTTTTACTTTGGGATTTATCCTGGCTTCATAGGAGCAGAGGAAATCTCCGCTCGTCGCTAGGCTAATGTATACCATGTAAAATGCCATAGGCTGGCGCTAATAACGTTAGCATGTTGTATTTGCTTTGAAATCGTGTTTAGTATAAGACAGTTGTTTTGTCGGTGAATGTTGAAAGTTGTAATGGAGCCAAATTATGTACCGTTACCTTTGTTAAATGTTGCTGTTGTCTCTGGCTTTATATGAGAAGAGGAAAAGATCGCTAGACGCTAGGCTAATTTATACAATGTAAAATGCCAGAGACTTGTGCTAATAACGTTGGTGGGGGAAATGTGTCCAGATAAAGACAAGTGTTTGTCTGTCGGTTCTGCGATTTATAGTGAAGCCAATTTGCGTACTTGTGTTTGAAATTGTCTCTATAGAGCTCGTACGTGCCGCCCCTTCCGGTAGACCCCTATCGGACCTCTAGGCTCGGAAAATATGAATGGGAGTCAATGAAGAGAAAATTATTATTTTCTGGTCCCAGTCATTAAATGCCTAGGATTACACAAATGTTTCGTGTGGGTCTAAATAATATTTTTTCATGTTAAGAGTTTGACAGTTTATTGTATGATTCTTCAGTTAAAGGCTGTGGAAACAACGTAATGAGAAAGACTACATGTCGCCTATGTGACATCACGTCATCACACTTTCCCTCCACTTCTCAACTCACAGTGCTGCTGCTGCTGCTGCTGCGTCTTCTGCCACGATCTACGGAGCCATCAGATCAAGATGCCGGTGTGTTTCGTAGCTGAAACTCTCCACATGTCCAGACTTGTAGTGGTTTTTGCCACGCTTAAGGCTTTTGTCCTCTCCTTGGAAGAAGGCGATGAAGTGAAGCTCTCACACAAAACCTAACAGTATTAAACTTCTTCCCGCTAAATTGTAGCCTTCTTTGCACGAAAAAATATATTAAAAATTCACAAACAGCATATGAGAAATTCATTCAACGGGACCAGAAAATAATTTTCATCTAGCCATTGAAATACATTATGAGAAATCGATTTTTAAGGTCCCATGTACCAGAAACAGAAACACGCAACTTACGAGCTCTATAAAGCTATATTTAATGTGTGTTTTGAATCAACTATGTAAATGAAGTTTGATTTGAACTAAACTTTACAGCACTTAACACAGTCCTCCACTACCGAGTAGCGTTTTGGAGGTGTAACTGCAGAATGACACAGACACACCACCGCAGAAGTAAAATAACGTGCAGATTTTTTTTCCCCCACGACTAATCGATTAGTTGAAGATTATGTGCAACTTTAGTTGACCAAGATTTTCTTTGGTTGACTACAGCCCTAGTCAAAAAAGCTATTGATCGTCAGGTCTATTAAAATGTTGCTTGAATTGTGTGGGCCAGAAACAATATTCAACCAGATCATGATACAGAAATACATATAAGTGTAGACTTCATAGAGTTATAGTCCTGTCCTTATTTACAAACATTTCTGTTTTTGAACACATGTAGCCTGTTGTAGATGTATTAATACATTTTTGTTCAGTCATAAAAAAGACTATACATGAGATTCATATCTTGTTATCTGCAGGAACAGAAGAGTAGGCACTGTTCATTAACTTATATGACATATATATTAATATGACTTAGGGACTTAGTGATCAACTGAATTTGAGTTTTGAGTATGAATTACAATATATTATACTAAAAATGCTTCCTATACAATGATACTCTACCTGCCATAAATACAGAGTTAGTAAGCAGTTAACCATTGTTTTGAAATGCTTCATTTCCGCCTCTTTAAGACTTTAACAGACAAAATCACCAACTTTTTCACTGTGCAAAGAATAACAAAGCTCCAGACCTTCGTCCTGCTGACACACACACACACACACACACACACACACACACACACACAAACACAAACACAAACACACACACAAAGCCTCACCAGCAGTTAGACAATGACATAATTGACTCTTAGCCATGTTAATGACCAATTAAGTGATTAATATTTTTAAACAAGAATACAAAATGTTTTGTGCCCCAAAATAAATGCTTCATTCAAAACTGTTGCTCTTATCTAATCTCACTTAAAATAACTTTCACCATGTCTGCAGTATGAGCTCTAGTCATGGTAGGAGCCCAAGACAACTACTCAGTAAAATCGGACACAATTCCTCAAATGTCTGAAGTCAACTGGCCTGACTGAGTGACTGAATGAAAGGTGGTACTATATCATACACCTACAATATAAGCAAACAAAAAAACAAACCACAAGTCTCCCTTTAGACCCCATCACACAGAAAATGTTTTAGCAGCTGGAGACAGCTTTTTGTAATAGTTTTTATTAAGAATGAAGGCTTTTGCTCACTGCTTTTGCGTTGCTACACGCCTCGCGTTTCTGTGCTATCGGCACCTTGCCTTTTTGCTGGAGTGGTCAGAACTCCTCGACTTGAAAAAATTCTACTCAGAGCAGAAAATTGCCCCACATCATCTTGGCTTTTTCCCCCATTGTCAAATCAGATGATTTGAGAGGCGGGCCTTCTGTGGTGGTCATGACAACAAGTTTACAGCTGGTAAACAATGGAGGAGAAACTGGTGGCAGCAGTTGCTGGATACGCAGAGCTATAAGACTTTACAAACCACAGTTACCACCATTTCAATAGAAAACAGCAGGCATGGAAGCATAAGTGCAGTACTTGAAACAGTCATCATGGAGGCTAAGCTCCTGGACCAACTGGTGGTTCTCCCCATGATCCACCCTCTTCTTTAGGCTCTCGTGTACCCACACAGATCTGTTTCCCTGTGCCCAACAAACTATTTGCTGACAGCCTCTCACCCTTAACTAGAGCTACAGCAAGTATCATCTGCCTGTCTATTTTAGGAATTAGATATGAATTACTGTGAAATAAAATGAAATAAAATAAAATAAAGTAAAATAAATAAAAAGGTAATTTGATAACACTGGAAGGTTAGGGTAAGGAAGTAATAAAGTGGTTGCCTGGCAACAATAAAACGAGGCATCAAGAGTTTTTTTTACTAGTGGCATTCAATTTAAACTAAAACGGCAGTGTGGTGCACCTTGTGCTTTGCAACCTGCACAACGTTGTCTGCGTGATCGGAGCCTTAAAATCACAATTTGTTCTTATCACACACTGTCAATATTCATGTCAAGCTCCATGTGGAACAGTGAAGTCAGGTACAGAGACAGTTTGTGTGACACCAGCAGACCTACCTGTGGAGGGTAGTTGCTCTCAGAAGACCATCTTGAAGACTGATCATTAGGTTTGTCCACTAAGATATTCCTAAGAAACACCCACACAGAAAGACATGGGTTTATTTATCTCTGTGGGACATCACAGCAGCTAAATACTGGACACACAGCAGACAACATCTCATCAAACGTTAGCATGCAGGAATCAAAACTCACTTTAGGGTAGAATAGCTATGGGTACTTGTGTGTATAAACCAGGTGTAACGTGAAAGGAATCATATATCAGTACTACGTATGTAGGCCAGCTAGATTGTGCTAGCAGATGCAATGAGTCCATTTAATGATTACAGTAACGTTAGTATAAGCTAGCAGACGTTGTTATTAGCTGGCTGGCATTAACATCAGCTAGCAGCTAACCAGTATCTATACGAGTGCTGTACCAGCAACAGGCAAATGCTCTCTAACTACGCGTGACTTCACTCATTAACTGTAACATTTAGACTATTTATTTTTATATGTCATCCATGAAGCACGACCGCTCGAGTCATAACTGTGGTTCCAAGTAGCCAGTAAGCAAGCTGAGAAGGTACTGTTGCTGAAGCAGAGCTCGTTTATTAAATAACAGCAGCTAGTTATCCACTTTAGCTTCGGAGTCCAGTTAGCTAACGTGGACGTTTGTTTCTGACGTACCGGGGTGCCGGACTGCATATTTCTGAATCAAATTCTAAAATGCAGTACTATTTTTGCCTTGACAACTCAGTAGTCTTGCGACCCGCTTAGTAGAGTTTGCTTAAGCAGTGACAATACGAAGTATTGCTACAAAAAAGCCCTTCTCATGAACAGAAACGAATATTGACGTAAACAGAGCATCTCAAACGGAGGAGCAGTGTCTAAGAGTCAAACTCCTATCTGTTGAAATACCTCAATGACACAAGTACATAATCCACGAAATTATTTAAAGGTCATCTCCTCGATTATACACTCCTTTACACGCTACTGTTTGCCATAACCGCTTCAATGGATCGTCAATAGCATCACGATCGGGCGACAACGTATCAAAACCAAACGCACCTACTGTTGCTAACAATGCTATCGCTTGTTGGCTTGGATCGCAGGCTAGCTAGGCCAATCGGGCCGGCAAGAACAAACATTGGTGCATTGAGGTGATGAAAGACCACTTGAGACCACAAAACCTAATGCATACGCCGGGCAAACAAACGTCTGCATTACTCACTCTGGTAAATATGTAGAGGAGTAAGAGCTCCATTTAAAAACGCTGAAAGTGAGGACTCTGCTCTCAGGAACGACAGCCATCTTGTTGAAGAAAATAACAAGCAGCGGTGGGTTAGGCTAGCAAGAAGCGAGAAGTAACAGCCCTTAAGGAGACAGTACACCCTTTTGTTTGTTTATATCGACCTTATTCCTAGCCCCCATGATACCTTGCGTGAATTCTGGGTGCAACTTCCGGCGTTGAACCGATACTGGATATTTCCAATGGCAACTTTTTGTTTACAGTACTCTCTTCTTTTTTCCAAAAGCAATTGGGAAATAAAACGTGGAACAGACCACCTGTTATAGCTCAAATGGGATTATGTGATCTTACCTCTGCCATTTCTGACAGCCATCTCAAAGCATTGTTCTTTTTTCCCTTTTCAATCAAGCACACTAGCAATTAGCTTGCCTTGCTCCGATAAAAAATTGTTAATTTTAACATGGCCAGAGCTAGCTTAAGGCTCCCTCTAAAGATGATTTCTGATACAAATACATTTGACAAACATTTAACATAATTCACTATTAACTGTAGCTCCATGTAAAGTGAATAAATGTGATGTTTCCCAACTAATCCTTGCTCGTCTGCGTTAGTGACGCAGTTTACACATTTTTTTAACTTCTGATAACTGTTCTGAGCAAAACATGATGCTGAATTTAGCAACAGACTTCAGTAATAGTAATACAAAGTAGTAGTAAAAGAAATAACTTTTGGCATTCATTTATTATATGATATAAAGGAAGTATGGTAAATCAGTAACACATTCTCAGCCCTAATGACTAAATACATATTTCAGGGTATGGTGTGGAACAATTTTCTAATGTATGTAGAGAATGAAGTCAGATGGGGAAAGACAAGGATATCATGTACTGACATTGAGTGACGGACCCGTCAGTCTATGTGTTATTCTCTTCTGCAAATTCTGATTGAATTTGATTTGAATACTTTTACGCTATGTCTCGTGAAACTCTCCTGGTTTTATTTCTCATATTAATGGTACCATTGGCAACAATCCCTTTTTGTTCTGGTTACATGTTCAACACACAGTTTCTGAAGACAAAAATAGACTGGTTGTTAGTCATTACAGACACGGACAGTGCAACAGGTACCACAGCTTTGCAAAGACATTTTAGAATATGCCAAGTTAACATTAGTTGAATATTTGTTAAAAAAATAAATCAATATTTGCTAAACTGAAGGCAAATTATTTTTGAAAAGAACCAGTGTTGGCAGTTATCCACCAAGAGTAGCCACTGGGACTAACCACAGATAGTCTATCGGACTACCTAGCTTACTGCTACTTCCGCTATCTCACCAACGATATAACATTCATAAATTTACATTGGAATTACGTATGAAAAACTAAACAGTATTGTTTCTTTCCAGAAACAGTATCCAGATATTTAAGACATCCACAGGCCTCCCTATGACATGACCAGATAAACCTGTTGGAGGTCCCTGGGTAAGAATGAGCTGCTGGGCCTCTTAAGAGCATAAAATACATTGAAAGAATAAAGGTCTTTAGATGTGATTTTGACACAGTACCACTTTTTAAGACAGGGTCTCAAGATGACATCGTAATGGAGCAGTGTCACTTCAAGGCCCTTATCATGTCAGTTGATATTAGCTTTAGTGGTGCACAAATTGCCAGTGGCCCTGGGCTTTTTGAGGGCCCCGCAGTAGTTGTATACCTGGCCTGGAAGGTAATCCAGCCTTGTGGACAGTTATTGAGAACTATTTTTCACTAAGGGGAGAAAATATTGAAGAATGTCCATAGCAGTTATTATTAGTGATAGTTACCTCAAAAAGGGACAAAATATTTAGTGTTCTTTCAAGATTAAGACATGAATAACTGTGTGTTGTTACCAATTAATTTTAAACATACCATGTTTATCTATTGGATTACTTTAATTTACATTTGTAGATTTTCACACAATCATGGATACCCGCATACATGGGGTATGCTGCTGTTTGCTCACTATTAACTGTACTATCGTTTTTGATTTATGGTAAATCTGAATTTTAATAAATCATGTCAGTTTTAGCAAAATTACCCAGAAAAGGACTGAAACTAGCTCATATCAATATTTGTAGCCTCAGGAACAAACTTGCTGAAATAAAAGATATATTGCAAACAAATAATATTCATATTTTAGCGGTTTCAGAAACCCATCTTGATCATACATTCTCAGATGATGCAGTAAATATACAAGGTTATAATGTTTATAGAAAAGATAGGAATCTGCATGGAGGAGGGGTTGCCCTATACATTCAGAGTCATATTCCGGCAAAGGTGAGACAAGACCTCATGCCTGCTGGTGTGGAGACCTTGTTACAAATTCAATTACCATATATCAAACCAATATTGGTCGGATGCTGTTACAGGCCAACATCTGCAAACAGCTTATATCTGAATGAATTGTGTGACATGATTGATAATATTTGTGACACTGGAAATGAAATTTATCTAATGGGTGACCTGAACATTAATTGGATGTTGCATGACTGTCCACTAAAGAGTAAAGTTCTCAACGTAACTAATGCATGTAATTTAACACAGGTCATTAACCAACCAACAAGAATCTATATAAACAGTTCTGGCAAGAGAACATCTACCTGCATAGACTACATCTTTACAAATGCTGTGGATATGTGCTCCAAGGGCATATCTGTCCCCATTGGATGTAGTGATCACAACATAATAGCTATTTCTAGGAAAGCAAAGGTACCCAAAGGGAAACCAATAGTAATTTACAAAAGATCATATAAGAGATTTAGTCAGGATTCATTTTGTACTGATGTAAATAATGTATGCTGGCTTGATGTATACAAGCAAGATGATCCTGATGATGCCATTAAGGCTTTTGAAAATATGTTTTGCCCTGTGGTGGACAAACATGCACCAATCAAAAAATATAGTAAAAAATGTCAGAGCACCATGGATTGATACTGAACTGAGATGTGTTATGGTTGATAGAGATGTGGCAAAGAGTATTGCAAATAGGACTGGGAGTAAGGATGACTGGGAAACCTATTGTAAACTGAGAAACCAGGTTACTAAAATAAATCGGAAAAAGAAAAAGATGTTTTTCCAACTCAAATAAATGAATGTAAATATGATGGTAAAAAACTTTGGGGCACCCTAAATAGAATAATGGGAAGAAAACCTGCCCAAACTCCATCTTTTATTGATACAGGTGATTCATTTCTAACAAAATCACACAAAATAGCAAACTATCTAAATGACTTTTTTATCAATAAAGTGGAAAAATTGAGACAAGAAATGTCATCTGTGAATTGTACCCCATCACATGGGAGTATAACTAAACAACTTATGAAAGACAATCTTTTGAAATTTGAATTAAATAAAGTAAGTGTAAAGGAAGTGGAACAACAATTATCACCTATAAACACTGATAAACCAGGGGGGATGGATAATCTAGATGGAAAGCTTTTGAAACTGGTGGCCAGCAGTTTGGACAGACCTGTTTGCCACATCTTTAATACCAGCATAAAAAATAATGTCTTTCCTTCAGCGTGGAAAGTAGCAAAGGTTATTCTTCTAAAGAAAAATGCAGCAGAGGGATTTTGTGGTAAAACAGTCGGCCGATCAGTCTACTACCAATTCTTAGCAAACTGCTGGAAAAGATTTTTTGTGAACAAATACAGTTCTTTTTTAAAGTGAATAATTTAGCTATTGACTTTCAGCACGCCTATCGTGAAGGACACTCAACTGGAACAGCATTAACTCAGATGACAGACGATTGCCTTAAATATACAGACAATAATAACTTAGTGGGAGCAGTGTTGTTAGATTTTAGTTCAGTTTTTGATGTATTAGAGCATGAATTATTGTTAGATAAACTCAAATGTTACAATTTTGCACCTCACACTATGTGCTGGTTTAACAGTTATTTGTCTAATAGAAAACATTATGTATTTTATAATGGTAGTTTTTCAAACATGAAAGAGTTACAATGTGGTGTACCACAAGGAAGTTGTTTAGGGCCTTTATTATTCTCGATCTTCACCAATGATCATCCTTTTGTTCTAAATCAAACAAAAGCAGTTATGTATGCAGATGATACAACATTATATGTACCAGCAGCATCAACTGAGGAATTGTCTAGTGTTTTGGACAGGGAATTACAATCAGTAGTAAGGTGTCTATGGAGTAACAAGTTGGTTCTTAATATATCAAAAACAAAAAGTATTGTATTTGGATCTAACTTGGAACTTAAACATAAACCACAGTTAAATGTGTCTGTACAGGGAGTGCCTGTGGAGCAGGTAGATGACACAAAAATTCTTGGAGTAATTTTAGATAGCAGATTAAAGTGGTCAAAGCAGATTGAAAAAACGGTGGCAGTTATGGGGAGAAATCTGGCAGAGATGTGCTAAATTTTTACCACAACAATGCATTTATAACATTGTTCAAACATTAGTTCTTACTCATTTGGATTACTGTCCAGTAGTGTGGTCAAGTGCATCAAATAGAGATTAAGAAAAATTACAGTTAGTTCAGAATAGAGCCGCACGACTCACTCTGAACTGTAACATAAGAGCTAATATCATCAGAATGCATAGAGCCTTAGGTTGGTCATTGGTGAAGGACAGAATGATTATCTCTCTGCTCTGTTTTATAAGAAATGTTTCAATGTCCAAAATCCCAAATGTCCTGTACCATCAGTTTTCATACAGTAGTAATGGTCATAACTTCAATACTAGACATGCATTAAGAGGTTGTTTTTTACTTCCAGTCTCAAAAACTAATGCAAGGCAATGCACTGTTATGTACAGAGGAATGAAATTGTGGAATAGTCTGCCATCCGATATAACACATGTAACAAGTAAAGCAGTTTTTAAAAGTTTGAAGAGATACCTGATGGTACAGAACACCAGCCCTCTTCAAATATAACATGTTTTTGCTGCATACTTGATTCTGATAAACATCGAGGAACTTTGGTGGTCATTTTCATGCTGTTTTTTGGTATTATTGTCTCCTCTGAGCTGTAATTGAATGTTTTATTGATGACTTGAATATGGTGTAGGAATTTGTTGTTATTGACATTGTTATCATTATGAGTAGGTTTATTGCTGTTGATTCATTGTTGATT